AGTGAAAAAATACTAAAAGAAATAATGGAAAGACATCCCATGCTCCTGGATTGGAAGAATCAATCTAGTGAAAATGACCATACTACCCAAAGTGATATACAAATTTAATGCAATCCCCATCAAAATTCCTATGACATTTCTCACAGAAATGGAAAGAACTATACAGTTATTTATCTGGAATAACAAAAGACCACGAATAGCCAAAGCAACGCTGAGCAAAAAAAATAAAGCTGGAGGTATTACTCTACCTGACTTTAAACTATACTACAAAGCTATAATAACCAAAACAGCATGGTATTGGTATAATAACAGAGACTCTGATCAATGGAATAGAATAGAGCACCCTGAAATCAACCCATGCACTTACTGCCATTTGATCTTCGACAAAGGTATCAAGTCTATTCACTGGGGTCGGGACTCCCTCTTCAGCAAAGGGTGCTGGGATAACTGGTTATCCATTTGCAGGAGATTGAAACTAGACCCACATCTCTCACCATGTACTAAAATCAACTCAAAATGGATCAAGGATTTAAATATACACCCCTAAACAATAAAACTTATTAAAGAAAATATAGGAGAAACCCTTCAGCAAATAGGGCTGGGCACAGACTTCATGAATATGACCCCAAAAGCATGGGCAACCAAAGGAAAAATAAACAAATGGGACTATATCAAACTGAAAAGTTTCTGCACAGCAAAAGAAACAATTAACAGAGCTAAAAGACAGCCAACAGAGTGGGAGAAAATATTTGCAAAATACATGTCTGACAAAGGACTAATATCCAGAATATATAAAGAACTCAAACATCTTTACAAGAAAAAAACAAGCAACCCAATTAAAAAATGGGCAAAAGAGCTAAGTAGGCATTTCTCTAAAGAAGATATGCAAATGGCCAACAGTCATATGAAAAAATGCTCAACATCACTCAGCATCCGGGAAATGCAAATCAAAACCACACTGAGATACCATCTCACCCCAGTTAGGATGGCCAAAATCCAAAAGACGCTGAAAGATAAATGCTGGCGTGGTTGCGGAGAAAAAGGAACTCTCATACATTGTTGGTGGGAATGCAAAATGGTGCAACCCCTATGGAAAATGGTTTGGAGGTTCCTCAAACAGCTGAAGATAGATTTACCATATGATCCAGCTATCCCACTACTGGGAATGTACTCAAAGGAATGGAAATCATCAAGTTGAAGGTATACCTGTTCCCCAATGTTCATTGCAGCACTCTTTACAATAGCCAAGAGTTGGAATCAGCCCAAATGTCCATCATCGGATGAGTGGATACGGAAAATGTGGTATATCTACACAATGGAATACTACTCAGCTATAAAAACGAATGAAATACTGCCATTTGCAACAACATGGATGGACCTTGAGAGAATAATATTGAGTGAAACGAGTCAGGCAGAGAAAAAGAAATTCCACATGTTCTCACTCATTAGTGGGAGCTAAAAAAAACAAACAAATTAATTCACCCACATACACACACACACAAAAAAAAAAAAACCGGGGGGGGGGGTGGGGAAGAAGATATAACAACTATACTTTCATGAAGTTGTTACAACAAGCAAACGGAAAGGATATTCTTGGGGGGGGGAGGGGAGAGAGGGAGGAGGGAGGGAGGTGTCGGTGATGGGCCATAATAATCATATACAGTGTATATTGACAAAATAAAAATTTAACGACAAAAAAAAAAGAAATTGTGTCAAATTCATTCAGTGGAAATTTATGCAACATTGACAATGAATGAACTACAGTAATTACATCGACAAATTTCACAATAATAATGTAAATATATGAAGCCATTCTATATGTTTTTATGTATTCCTACATATATTTCATATGTAAAAGTCAAAAATGAAACTAACATACAGGGTTACAGGTAAATAGCTACCTTTTAGGATGAGCGAGAAGAGATAACTTGGAGTGAGGGGTTAATTTCTATTTTCTAACCAGGTAAGAACGACATGTATGTATTCATAAAGTAATATTCTGTCTGGTTGGAAATTAATAACTGACATCCTTTTAAAATTAACAGTAAAGAAAAAAAAACAGGTTTAAACATGTCAACCTCAAAGATAAATCAGGTACATCTCAACTAATAGAATTCCCTCATGAAAAAGTTAGAAGACCTAATAAACGTGTAGTCACTGACCTAAGACGCGAACTCTGCTAATAACCAGCATTAGGACTAGAGTCACAGGCTCATCCTGGATATCTCAGATGTATAGCACTGATATCACAAAAACTCTCGCATTCTCACCCTGGCGGGCTCCTCAGTCCTGGGCAAGTCAGGATGAAGGGCACCATAAACTGACAGATACTTTCTTAGCCCTAGTGCACTGCGACTGCATCTGCCCACATACTTTGGTTCTGCTCTCCCATAGGGAACACATTGTGCCAAACATCCTCTCCCCAAGTGTCTTTGTTAGAACTGGGACACAAGGGTGGAGTAGGTTCTACAAACATACTTGCCTGTTAGTCTGGAACAGAGTGTTGAGGGTGAAAAGACTTGGACCCAGCATTCAGTTTGTCACTGCGAACATATCAGTATCACACCCCTCCCCACAGACACTCGACCATCAACATAGAGCCAAAGGAACAAATATGGGGAGAGAAATTGCCTCAAACCTCCCCTAGCCAGCAGGAGCTATCACATGATGAGGTGATCATCAGAGCAGGAATGATGCTAATCATGTGACCACCTCCCTTTGATCTGAAAAAAGATTCTATGAGTTGTTCTCAATTAAGAAACACATTACACATGTACTGTCAGAAGATGCACAGCAGTTAGGAAAAGACTTCCTCCTTGACAACTTCCCAGTATGATAGGAAACAATGAAAAACAAAAACAAGGAAAAGTCCTGTCTATAGGTCCAGTCTTTGGAGGCCCAGTGTATAAAAGGACCACACACTGCAAGGACTCATCAGAGTCTGGAAAACTCACCTCTCCGCAGAAGCCCACCACCACTCCTCACACCATGACTAACTCCTGCTGCTCTTGCTGCCAGCCCACCTGCTGCAGAACCACCTGCTGCCGCCCCAGCTGTGGCTGCAGCCCTTGCTGTGTGTCCAGCTGCTGCCGCCCTTGCTGTGGTGGATCTAGCTGCTGCCAGCCCAGCTGCTGTGGGTCCAGCTGCTGTGGCCAAAGCTGTGGTGGGTCCGGCTGCTGTGGCTCACCCTGTTGCCAGCCCGTTTGCTGCACACCCGTGTACTGCACGAGAACCTGCTACCAACCCACGTGCTGCTGCCTGCCCGGTTGCCTAGCCCAGGGCTGCGGGTCCTGCTGTGGATCCAGCTGCTGACAGCCTGGCACTTGTTGATGTTCTCCCCATCGGACCCTCATCTCCACAAGCCAACCTTCCTTCAACTGACTTGCCCTGCCTGGACAAATTCCCTTCCTACCTGTGCTGAAAACCATCACACTATCACCAGAAACTCTAAGATTCACTTACTTTATTAAAAGCTTGTGAGTCAGCATGAGGGAGCGCAGAGTACTTCCCTTTTGTTCTCTGATTCCTTATGTCTTCTGGGTCGTGTGCCACCTTTGTACATCATTGACATGGAGTGATCGTCTCAGCTTTGATTCTGATTCATAATCTTTGTAATTATGTTTCCTTTTTCAGTGCATTCAGGATTCTTGTATCCCCCTTTCTCTTTTTATGCTTGCTTTCTGTTGTATCCATAGGATAGGGAGATCTTAATAAATTTTTAGTAAATCCTGTATCATGATTCACTTCATTTTGTTTCATCATTTTATTGTGGTAAGAACACTAGACATGAGATCTACCAACCTGGTAGAGTTTTATTGAACAGTTCATTATCAGTGTATCCTATCCAATAGACACGCTGTAGGAAAGCAGATCTCTACAACTTATTCATCTTGCTTAACTGAATTATAATAGCCAGCGATGAGCAGCTCCGCATTTCCTCCTACCCCACCATCTTGAAACCAGGATTCTATTCTTGGCTTATATGAGTTTGACTATTTTAGACACCTCATATAAGTGGAATAATGTAACAGTTTCCTTCTGTGACTGGCTTATTTCACTTGGTGTAGTGTCCTCAAGGTTTATCCATGTTTTTGTAAATGGTCCGGTTTCCTTCTTTTTAAGGCTAAATAATATTCTACAGTTTATAGGTACCACAGTTTCTTTATACATTCATTCAGCGAAGAATATTTGGGTTGTGCCCACAACTTGGTTCTTTTGAATAGTGCTCCTCCGAACACTTGAGTGCTAATATCTCTCCAAGATCCTGATTTCACTTGTGTGTGTACATATCCAGAAGTGGGATTGCTTGACCATATGGTAATATTCTGTTTAATTTTGTGAGGAACCTCCATATTGTTTCTATTGTGGCTGCACCATTTTACATTCCCACCAATGAACAAGGGCTCCAATGTTCCGCATCCTTCCCAGCACCTTTACTATGTTGTATTTTTCATAATGGCCAGACCCAATATTCCACTGTTTTACCTGTTCTAATGTTGAAATAATGTTACAGTATGGAGTGACATCCCATGCATTCATGTCAAAATACATGATCTTCCTGAGAAACTGGAAGACTCAAGGAATAGAGTCCCTCCCCTATGCAGTGAGTGGCTGGGCACTGCCAACATTTACATAATGCCTTTCCTGACTCCAAACTTACATGGTTGACCACCACACTCCTTTCTAACAAGCGCATATTCACTTTCACAACATTTTCAACCAGGTTAAGTCAATCCTTCTAATTCTGAAGCCATTCTTTCTCTGTAAGGTACCTGGACATAAATGGGCTCTGCTCCTACTCAAGTCACTTTTAAGTTTGACTTTCCAAGAGCATCTTCCTCTCTTCTTCTCCTGTTCCATGATCCCTGAGTGTGGCTCCCAAAATGTGATATTATTCATAGGTTAGCGTGAGCTTTCATTTGGTTTATTTCTTCAATAATATTTAAAGTTAGTTATGATGTTGCATGTCATAAATGTCTAATTTTATATTTATATAACCCAGGGTTTCTTCTGCAAACTCTTACAAATTGTAGGATATAAAACTCAGAAGAGAAGTCTTGTCTTTAGAAACTATCATGGGATCTTTTGTGTCATGTGTTTGTTGGTCACCTGATAATCTGGTATCACCAGATTGCTACTTGTGATCCAGCAATCACACGTTCCCCCTAGGTTGTCTCCAATAACTCTGGCTGAGGATTATATGTTTTGGAATATTTTTTCCCTGCTGTATTTGAATTGGTGGTAAAAGACAATTCCTCATGTATATTCTTTAGATTACTACAATATTGTTGTAAAAATGACCAAGTATTAATTGAGAAAGTTAAACGTATGGAATGTCAGTAAGTAAACACAAAATCAGCAAAATTAAACTCTTCAGTAGAAACAGAGAGATACAAGAGAATAGAGATAGACAATCCAATGTAATCAGGAAAGCAATTCATGATATGAATGAGAAATTCAACAGAGATATCTATTGTGCAAAGAAACAAAAAGATATTTTGCAACTAAAAAATTCATTGAATGAAATAATAAAAAAAGAAAGGAAACTGAGAGATTTCACAACAGAATAGAACAAACACAAGAAAGAATTTCTGAACTTGAAGACACATCTTTTGAAGTAACCCAGTTGGAGAATAAGAAAAAAAGTAAAAAATAAAGAATTCTCAGGAGCTACATTGGAAAATTTTAAGTGAACAAACATTTGAATCACGGGCATTCCTGAATGAGAAGGAAAAGAAGCTATCAAAAACCTATTTAGTAAAATAGTACCTGAAAACTTCCCAAGTCTGGGGAGAGATATGAACATCCACATCCTAGAAGCTCCTAAAATATGTTCAACCCAAAAAAATCTTCTCCAAGGCACATTACAGTCAAAGTGCCAAAAGTTAAAGACGAAGAGAGAATTCTAAAAATAGCAGAAAAACATCAAGTCACATATAAGGGAATCCTCATCAAACTTACAGCAGATTTTTCAGCAGAAACTTTACAGGCCAGAAGAGAATGGGGTGATATATTCAAAATTCTAAAAGAAAAAACATCAAGCCCAGAATATTAAATGCTGCAAAGCTATCCTTCAGAAATGAAGGGGACTTAAGGTCTTTCCAAGACAAGCAAACACCGAGGAAATTCATCACCACTAGATAAGTTCCATAAGAAATCACTAGTGGAAGCACTTCTGGCTCCCCTGCCAGGGTGGTGTGGGGACACGGGTGTTGGCCATGCCCCTGACATCCGCAACCAACACACTGATGACTGCTGAGCTACCATTTGAAATACCCTGTGCTTCTGAGCAGGATTAGTGGGGGACCAAGGGCTTCAGCCACACCATCCTGACATCTGCATCAAGCCCAGCAATGACCAAGCCTCTACTGGAAGCACCCTGGTCTCCCCTGAAGGAATAAGGGGAGAGTCACGGGCCTTGACTAGGCCCCCTCCTTCCTCCTTCTCCCGCCCAATTTCATTCTGCCTTATGCTACCACCCTCCCCCCAACTGTTCTGCAAAAAAAAATTTTTAAAGAAAGAAATCTATGGGGAGTCCTACATCTGAAATGGAAAGGACCAGAGCTACCATCATCAAATATGCAAAAGAATAAAAATCACTGGTAGGGAAATAACACTAAAGAGGAATAGAAAGGAATCACATCTTATCACTCCAGTGAACTACAAAAATGCAAAAATGAACAACAAAAGAGGAACACAGAATACGCAAAACAACCAGAAAACAACTACCAAAATGGCAGGAGTAAGTCCACATCTTTCAATAACAACCCTGAATTAAATGGATTACAAGGCTCATTGAAAAGATACAGTCTATCTAAACAGGTAAAATAAATACATTAAAATTTTTTTAAAAAACAATGCCCAACTACACACTGTCTACAAAAATTCACTTCACCTAAAAAGGTACTTACAGACTAAAAACGAAGAATTGAAAAGATATCACATGCACTGGAACCAAAAACAAGAAAGACAAGCTATACTTATATTAGATAAAATAGATTTTAAATAAAAATAAAAATAAAAAGAGACTAACAAGAATATTACATAATGATAATAATCCATTTATATAATGATAAAGGGACTAGTTCAACAATAGGATATTAACAACTGTAAATATATATGCATCCAACACAACATCTCTCAGACCAGATATATAAAGCTAATATTATTAGAGGTAAAGGGAGACATAGATCCAAACAAAATAGTAATTGGGGACTTCAACACCACACTCTCAGCATCAGACAGATCATCTAGACAGAAAATAAACACAGAAACGTCGACCTTAAATTGCACTATAGACCAAATACATCTAAAGCATTTACAAAACAGTTCATCCAACAGCTGCAGAATATACATTCTTCTCATCAACTCATGGAACATTCTCCAACAGAGACCACATGTTACGAGACAAAACAAGCCCCTCAAAATTTTTAAAAACGGAAATCACATTAGAGATCTTTTCAAACCACAGAAATAAAATTAGAAATCAATAACAAGGGAAATTTTGAAAACTGTACAAATACATGGAAATTAAACAACATGCTCCTGAACAACCAGTGGATAAATGAAGAAATTAAAATGAAAATCAAAAATTTACTTGAAACAAAAAAAGTAGAAACACAACTTACCAAAACCTGTAGAATACTACAAAAAGAGTACTAAGAGGAAGTTTATACCAATAAATGCTTACATCAAAAAAGCGCCCAGGTTTCAGCTACACAATGTAATGGAGTACCTCAAGGAGCTAGAAAAACAGTAACAAAACAATCCCAAAATTAGTAGATAAAAAGACATAGTTAAGATTGGAGCAAAACTAAAGAGAGACCAAAAAAAATTTTTTTCAAAGATCAACAAAACATAATGTTGGTTTTTTAAAAAGGTAAACAAAGTTGGCCAACAATTAGCTAGACTTTTTAAGAAAGAAAGAGAGGATCCAATTAATAAAATCAGACAGGGAGAAGGAGATATTACAAATGATACCAAAAAATTTTCAAAGGACTATTAGAGACTATTACAAACAAATACATACCAACAAATTGGAAAATCTAGAGGAAATGGATAAATTTAGGAATACATATAACCTATCAACACTGAAACAAGGCAAAAAAGAAAACCTAAACAAACAAAAAACGAGTTACAAGGTTGAATCAGTAATAAAACTCTCCCAACAAAGAAGAGCCCAGTACAACATGGCTTCACTGCTGAATTCTACCAGACCTTTATAGAAGAACTAACAACAAGTTTTCCCCAACTCTTCTGAAACTTTAAAGAGAAGGGAATTCTTCCAAACTCATTCTATGAGGCCAGCATGAGAGCATAACAACTACCAAGCAACTAGGGGTCAATATCCCTGATGGGCACAGATGCAAAAGTCCTCAACAAAATACTAGCATGCTAACTTCAACAGCACATCACAAAGATTACACACCATGATCAACTGGGATTTACTCCAGGGATGCAAAGATGGTTCGACGTATGCCAATCAATAAATGTGGTACATTACATCAGCAGAATACCATATCACCATCTCAACAGATGCAGAGAAAGCATGTGATAAAATTCAACATCCCTTCATGATAAAAACTCTCCCTAAATTAGGTGTAGAAGGAACATACCCCAACACAATAAAGGCCATATACAACAAACCCACAACCAACATCATACCAAACGAGGAAACATTGAAAGATTTTCCTCTAGAAGCATAAACAAGACAAGAATGTCCACTTTTACCTGTCTTATATTCAACATAGTACTGGAAGTTCTACTCAGAGAAAACAGGCAAGAGAAAGAAGTAAAGGACATCCAATCTGGAAAAGAAGTCACATTATCACTGTCTGCAGATGGCATTTTCTTTGGTTTTAGAAAAACTTAAAACTAAAGAGTTTCCACCAAGAAACTCTTACAACTGATAAACAAATTCAGTGAAGTGGCAGAGTAAAAAATCAACGTACAAAAATCAATAGCATTTCCCTGCACCCACAACAAACTCACTGAAAAAGAAATCGAGAAAGCAATCCCATCTTCAATAACCACCAAAAAATGAAATACCAAGGATTAAATTTAAGCAAGGAATGAAATGTCTTACAGGGAAAACTACAAAACACTGATGACAGAAATTTAAAAGGACTCAATAAAATGAAAAGACATACCATGTTCATGAGTTGGAACAAGTATTGTCAAAATGACCACATTACCCAAAGTGATCTACAGATTCAGTACAATCCCTACCCATGTTCATGAGTTGGAACAACAAGTATTGTCAAAATGACCACATTACCCAAAGTGATCTACAGATTCAGTACAATCCCTATCAAGATTCAAATGACATTCTTCTCAAAAATAGAAAATAGGGCCAGCCCGGTGGCGCACTGGATAGTGCGCCGCTTGGGAAGTGCGGTGGCGCTCCCGTCCGAGGGTTCGGATCCCACATACAGACCGGTTCCCGCTCACTGGCTGAGCCATGTATCTGCCACCATGAGCTTGACAGCTTCCCCAAGACTGAATGACTTTTCTGATGAGATGAGTAGTGATATTAATGGATTTTTAAAATATTGTATAACCTAATAGTGATTATTCAGAAAAGAAGTTAAGAAAACAATCTCATTTACAATGGTAACAAAAAGAATAAAATACTCCGGAATAAACTTAACAAAGGAAATAAAAGTCTCGTACACTGAAAACCGAAAAACACTGATGAAAGGCATTAAAGCAGACACAAATAAATGCAAAGGCATCCTGTGTTCATGGAGTATAATAAATTAATTTGCTAAAATGTCCATACTACCCTAAAATATCTACAGATTCAATGTAATCCTTATCAAAATCCTAATGCTAATTTTTAGATAAATATAGAAAATAAACCTTAACATTCATATGGAACCACAAATGACCCCAATGGCCAAAGCAACCTTGAGCAAAAAGAAAGAAAATAAATCTTAACATTCATATGGAACCACAAATGACCCCAATGGCCAAAGCAACCTTGAGCAAAAAGAACAAAGCTGAAGCCATTATGCTATCTGACTTCAAAGCTATAGTAATCAAAACAGTATGGTCCATGAACCAATGGAACAGAATAGAGAACCCAGAAATAAACCCACATACCTACAGCCACCTGATTTTTGGCAAGGCACCAAGAACATGCATTGTGGAAAGTCAGCCTCTTCAAAAAATGGTGCTGGGAAAACTGGATATACATATGCAGAAGAAACTAGGCCCCTATCTCTCATTGTATACCATAATCACCACAAAATGGCTTAAAGATTTCCATGTAAGCCCTGAAACTACAGAACTTCTAGAAGAAAACACAGTGGAAATATTCCAAGACATTGGTCTGAGCAAAAATTTATAGAGAAGACGTCTAAAGCCCAAGCAACAAAAGCCAAAACAGACAAGTGATGAATGAATAAACAATGATAATGAATAAACCACATGTGATTACTTCAATGAATCTCACAATCACAACATAAAAACACAGAGGTCAACTCCATGTATATTTCTTTACATAAAAGTCAAAAAGCCCAAAACTGACCTACAGGGTTACAAGTCAATCAAGGGATCAGATAGCTACTGTTAGGGATGAGTCAGAGGATGTAATTTGGAGAAAGTGGGATTAATTTTGACTTCCTCTCCTACTAATTAGTAATGATGACATGGATGTATTTACTTTATGATATTTTACCAAGTTGGAAACAAATAGTTCACATTCATTTTAAAGGAATGGTATATCTTTAAAAAGGGTTGAACACATTAGACCTCAAAGATAAATCAGGTATCATCTCAACTAATATAATTCCCTCATTGGAAAGGTAGAAAAACCTAAGAAACATGTAGTCAGTGACCTAAGACACGAACTCTACTAGCAACCTGCGTTAGGACTAGAGTCACAACCTCATACTGTTTTGCCTGCATCTACGAAAGTGACATCACAGAAAGTCCCAGATTCTCATCTTGACCAGCTACTCAGTTGCTGGCAAATCAGGATAAATGGTCACCCATAAACTGATCAATACTTAGCCCTAGTGCACTGCGACTGCATCTACCCACATACTTTGGTTCTGCTCTCCCATAGGGAACACATTGGGCCAAACATCCTCTCCCCAAGTGTCTTTCTTAGAACTGTGACACACGGGTGAAGTAGTCCATGCAGAGACTCTTGCCTGTTAGTCTTGAATCAGACTGTTAAGGGTGAAAAGACGACAAACATATCAGTATCATGACCCTCCCCACAGACACTCGACAATCAACATAGAGCCAAAGGAACAAAGCCAGGGAGGGAAACTGCCCAAACCTCACCAAGACAGCAGGAGCTATCACATGATGAGGTGATCATCAGAGCAGGAATGATACTAATCATGTGACCACCTCCCTTTTATCTGAAAAAAGTTTCTATGAGTTGTTCTCAATTAAGAAACTGATTAAACAATTACTGTCAAAAGATTCACAACAGTTAGAAAAAGACTTCCTCTTTGACCATTTCCCAGTATGACAGGAAAAAATGAAAACAAAAACAAGGAAAAGTCCTGTCTATAGGTCCAATCTTTGGAGGCCCAGTGTATAAAAGGACCACACACTGCAAGGACTCATCAGAGTCTGGAAAACTCACCTCTCCGCAGAAGCCCACCACCACTCCTCACACCATGACTAACTCCTGCTGCTCCTCTTGCTGCCAGCCCACCTGCTGCAGAACCACCTGCTGCAGGACCACCTGCTGCCGCCCCAGCTGTGGCTGCAGCCCTTGCTGTGTGTCCAGCTGCTGCCGCCCTTGCTGTGGTGGATCTAGCTGCTGCCAGCCCAGCTGCTGTGGGTCCAGCTGCTGTGGCCAAAGCTGCGGTGGGTGCGGCTGCTGTCAGCCTTGCTGCCGCCCAACTTGCTGCCAAACCACCTGCTGCAGGACCACCTGCTGCCGCCCCAGCTGTGGCTGCAGCCCTTGCTGTGTGTCCAGCTGCTGCCGCCCTTGCTGTGGTGGATCTAGCTGCTGCCAGCCCAGCTGCTGTGGGTCCAGCTGCTGTGGCCAAAGCTGCGGTGGGTCCGGCTGCTGCCGGCCTTGCTGCCGCCCCAGCTGTGGC